ATAAAGATGTCAAAGGTGCCAACCGGTTGGTTGGTAAGATCTCCTGTTGAGAATGAGTTCAGATCTTTTGTCTACAAAAACCTTGCCTATATCTATCGCAGCCACATGAGGAATATCTCATTCTCTGCATAGTATTACGTAAAGGGAGATCTTCCCAATTCAGCAGAGTTTATATGGGCAAGAGATCCGGAGTCGTTGAGAGTTCAAATACAGTGGACCCTTTGATTCACGGGGTGCATGGACCCTCTAATACGAGACATGCACGTCATCCTTTTCGGGGCTTAATATTCTGTGTTAATGTAACGAGTCTGTCAATTAGTTAGGTAAAAACAAAACCCGTGCCCTAAATTTTCCCCTCATTTATTTGAACTCTTTTCACCCGAGCCCTAGCTCAAGAACAAGAGGCCACCCTCACCGGTGGCGATTTCAACGAGTCCGATGGCATCGAGTCAATTGGTGACAAGAATGAACTGGTAGTAAGCATCCATTCTCCTCATTTTCCTTCCAAACATGTTGTTCCTCTCAAATCTGATATTCTTCATTTCTACAGACCACCGGTGGCAGTTTGACAACATGGAACCAACTGGTGACAAGTGTAAATCGGCAGTTGAGTTGGGGGTCTTAATTTTTGTCTCAACTGTATTTCCTTAACACCATAAAAGGTTTGATAAAAAAACAGAGAGAACAAGCTATTGATGGATGGGAATACTTGTTTTGCTAGATAGACTGAACATTTCATGCTTTTGGTCAATCTACGACAATGTGAATGTGAAGATCCACAAACCAGACCTTGTTCTTCCCAAGATGTGGGTCATTTGATTCTAGCATCTTCACAACTGACAAGGCTTCCACTCCTGCCCCAGTGTAATCTGTATGTTGGAACTTTGAACTAGAATTGCAAGAACATCTTAACACAGTATGGAAACGTTGACATGGTCATAGACTTCAAAATTTTAACTTACACAGGGAAGGCAACAGAACTATATTGTTGTTTCCCGATTCAGAGAGAGATAGAGAACCCATCTAAATTACTTACTCCATGGGTAATGAAAGTGAATACAAAAATAAGAACTCCATTAATTAATGTATTAAGGTCGCATTATATCCGACCCATTACTATATCAAATCCCGCCATGGAGTATGTCTTTGCCAAACAATACCCACGCTCAAGGAACTATGGTTGTACCTTGTATGGTCAGCTAACAAATGCATAGGTGAGAGTCATTAGATTTTGCTGTGAAGACATGGCATAGAGCCCTCGAGCACGCCCCCATGAGGGTTGAATTTATATTGGGTATGGTTGTGAGTGGGTTGTCCATCACGTAGATTGATTCCAACAAGGATGCAATTGGGTTAGAGCTCGAGGAGGTCCCAACCCAACTTCCGGTTTAGACTTGTCGCTGGTTGATTCCACGCTGTTAGAGCTCGGTGAAATAGAGAAAGTGCTGTCGGTGGTTTGTAGAAAGGAACCCACCACGTTAATTTCTCCAAGTTGTATTCATAGGATTGTACAAACAGGTAGTTTCAATATTAAATGCCTCCACCATATAGCTGAATAAATATCATTTATCTTAGATAAATCCACATAGATGGAAAATTAATTAAAGTGGGACACACATGTTCTCAATCCAACAAGGAATTTTAACTGAATAAACTTAACAAAATAAATAAAAATATAATTGGCAAAATAAAAGATCGAAGCCACAAAATTTAATCCTTTCTGTTAATTTACTAAATGTATCAAATAAATATAAACTGAAGTACAAGAAGACCTGCTTATTGATATTTCATTTTCTTGAGAAGAAATCCTTAGCATCAAATAATATTTTGGGAGCTTATCTAGGTTCAAGGGCTGATACCTAGCTAATTAATATCTTATGACATGATTAATTGCATATTTTAATAGAATTATATATATATATATATATATATTCATACATAGATATTAGAAGTATACATATCACACCATATAAACAACCAATTTGAAATATTAGAAGACTCCTTGATTCACAAAACTGCTTATCATTATCATCCATCATGATCATGATCATCATCTAACCCTAGTTCTTCTAGCTCTTTCAACATTCATAAAAATGGTTAATTATCATAGTATTTATTTACTGATTATTTATGAAGGAAAAAAATAATCAAAACACTAGAGACAGGAAAAATTTTCCGCTATTTATGAACAAATACTTTTGAAGTAATTTTATACAGAAAAAGAACTTCGATCGATCATCGCTTGCAATGAGAAATGAAAATGATGTCGAAAAGCAAGATAGTGATACGACTCTCACAGGGACTCACAACCACAAGTCACGACCAAAAAACATATTTTTCAATATTGATATAGCTGATACTTGACATAAAGTGAGCTTTTGTAGCTTTTTCCAATTGCCAGAAAAGCCCTTGGCATGTAATTTCATGTTTTATTAAAAGCGTCAACTTGCCACGTGGCCATTTATATTCCAATATTGGGATCAGGGAGAACAGTAATAATGCCGTAAAGCCATGTGATTTTACATTAATTGAGTTTAATGGTGGAAGAAATTTCTAATATATAATTGACAAAATTTTCAAAACCAGATCATGGTTTTCAAAACCGGACAGTACTGGATGGTTGAACCGGAAAAACTGAAAACCGGTCAGGTGACCTGTTTTGTTTTATCTCAGAATTGTTATTTTCTAAAAAACCATTAATTTAGTCAGCAAATTGCTGACTCAAGTGGTTGAACCATACCGTTCAAACCATTCAAACTGTTTAATGGTTTGACTATTTTTTTTTTTTTATCAGAACAGGCCATTCATTCGGTTCGAATGAACCATTCGAACCGAAAACTAAACCCCTGACCGATTTGTTTTATTGTCCAGTTCAGTTTTAAAAGCCTTGCTTAAAACTTCATCTATATGGCCAAATACGTATTTTAGTTCATATTTGTCTGATCGTCCGACCCAAAATTCCATTGACATTAACTGTCTTTTCTTTTGGTAAAAGCCAAATTAATATCATTAAAGCCACAAAAGCCAGCTGGAATCAATAAAAACTTCCATTGAGCATTTGAGTTGAATAGACTGAGATGAGTTCAGAGTTCTGGGTTAGCTGATGACTTTTGAAATTGTTATTTTGTAGCCAAAAGCAAAAAGCAACCGAGAGAGAATTCAAATCAAGAGAAAAAACAGCAATTTCAAAATTTTCATTGGAACAGTGCTAAGTCAGGCTGATGCTGGGAGTTGCCCCTCTAGTTTAGTGTGCGTTACGGTGGTTCAATGTGGCCAAGCCGATAGCGACAGGATTGAAAAGTAGCAGATCAGACTTAGCATGTTGACATGAAACTTCTGTTAGCCAGCTAGCAGCTATATATATGCGCCATTCAACAATTTCTGTCCATTGAAATTTGCTGAAACATAAAAATTTATTAAGTTCTGAATGACGTGGCAATTTCTGGTTGAGCCGTAATTCAATGGGCAACGTTTCCACTGTCAGAGAAATAAAAGGGGAATTGACATCATGCTTTATCCACCCGACAAGTATGAGAACGGGGGATCGAAAAAAAAAAAGAAAAAAGCCAAATTTTGAGTCTGCATTTGTACCTGGGTATTACTAGGGGTGGATTCGAATCGGACCGAGTCAAATAGTATCAGGCTCGAGCTCAGCTAGAGACTATTCTATAAGGTTTGAGCTCGGTTTGAGCCAGAACCTTGAGTTCGAGGCCAAAAGTTCATAAGCTCGAGTTCGGCTCGACTCGATTCGTTTTATATTTTATAAAAATATTTATTATATATTTTATTATAAAAATAAAAATTATATATAGAAAGTTTATTTTATATTTAAAAATTAAGAATTATAATAATTAATAATTATAATATTTTTATTATATATATTATTTTCTATAATTTTATTATATATATGTTATATATATTCGAGCCGATTCGTGAGTCTCACGAGCCGAGCTCTAACATATTCGAACTCGGCTCGTTTATAAATCAAGCCACTGAATTGGGCTTGAGCTCGGCTGAAACCAAGTCGATCCAAGCTTTTCATGAGCCAAGCTCAAAAAGCTCGTGAAAAGCTCGGCTCATTGCCACCCCTAATAATTACCATTTTTTTTATACATTTAATCTTCAATTATTTGCAATAGTGCAATCTCTTTTGCACAAATACAGATGCATGGAAGCACAAATCAGAAAAGCGTAATCGACCTCTGGTTCAACTCATTTGCACCCATGCATGCAAATGCCCAGGTGACTCAACCCCGGGCGCGACCCATTCATAAGCTTTGTATCCTGTTGCAAATGGCGCTGAGCAATTAGTCATGAGTCATGACAGAATTGCTTGCAACGGGAGAAAAATGTTTATCCAATTGTAGGTATGAATTTAGGATCCATCATATCAGTCACGGTGGGCACCTATCAGTGTTGAGTACAGAGAATTCTCTCTCTCTCTCACAAAGCATATTTTTTTAAAGCTAACAGAGCAAGTTCATAATGAATGAACAAACAGATTGATGGGTTTAACGTTTGATGTTTCATTAATTTCCCTGTTGATAATTAAGCTGGTTTTTTTCCTCCAGCCTGTGGAGTGTGGGTTGCTTTAATTTATATTGTTTAATTAAAAATGTCATATAATAATACGTAAGGTATCATCGTAGTAATTGAGATTTCACAGTAGAAGTCATGCTCAAGACAGAGGTTTGTGTAGCTATAGGTAGATGGAAAAATTAAAGGAGGGATGCGGTGAGAAATTAATGGGGGATGGTAAAGGGGAAGAGGGACAAAAGGTCGTACACGGAGGCATCAACGTGGGAGATTGGAGCCCGTGACAAGGCTCTCGACGGTGGACGAGCCACGACAACGGCGAACAAATTTGACATTCGTGGCGCATCTGGCCACCGCAAATGCTTATACAATCTACATCAGTGGCCCCGCCTCTCTCTCTCTCATCCCCTTTGCTTTTATTATTATTTTACCCTTCTCTGGCCTCCTCAACCCAACCCCTCACTTCAATATACACAGACACATACATAATCTCGCAGGCTCATCTCATCACGAGTCACGACAGACATCTCTTTCTCTGTGTCTGGAGATGGGAAGGGCGCCGTGTTGCGAGAAAGTGGGATTGAAGAAAGGGAGATGGACAGCTGAAGAAGATGAGATCTTAGTGAAGTACATTCAGGCAAATGGTGAGGGTTCGTGGCGGTCATTACCCAAGAATGCAGGTACCTTTACGACCCAAATGTATTTTGATATGAGTTATTGTTTAGTTTTCAAAATGAGATTAGTATATAGTATAGCTAGCGTTGTTGATTAATTAATCTTCTTTCTCTTTCTTGGTGGCTTGAAGGTTTGTTAAGATGTGGGAAGAGTTGCAGGCTGAGATGGATTAATTACTTGAGATCTGACTTGAAGAGAGGCAACATCACCCCCGAGGAGGAGGATTTAATCATCAAGCTGCACAGTGCTTTGGGAAATAGGTGACTGAACTTGACTCTTATCTTTTCTCTTTCTACAATGAAGTGATGCACATGCAGATGCACCACACTCTCTCTCTCTCCTCTGTCTGTCTGCATGTGTGTGAGACTGTTTGTTGAAGTCTGAAAGTGGGGTTAGTTGCTTTGCAATCGATATGGGTTATTTTCCAACTTTTTGGAGACTTTTTCCCGTCCACTTTAATTACCTCCGTAAGCAACTTTGAAACTTTAGGTTAAGCAAAAGACTTTGCATCTCCTGAGAAATGTTACTTGTTTAAGAAAACAAGAAATAATTAATTATGTTAATTAATAAAAAATTAATCACTTGTTGGGATTTAATTTGATTGTTTAGGTGGTCCTTGATTGCTGGGCACCTGCCAGGAAGAACAGACAACGAGATCAAGAATTACTGGAACTCTCATTTGAGCAGGAGAATTCACAGCTTCAGAAGGCCCAACAGCGACGCTCTACCCATCGTCATGGACTTGGTCAAGATGGGTGGTGGGCGCAAACGTAAAGGTGGTCGAACAAGTAGATCAGCCATGAAAAAGATCAATAGCGGGTTCAACATTAATCCCTCCAAGGGCGACGTCTCGACGAAGAAACCCGAGAAAGCTGGCTGTGGTGAAGGTGGGTCACTACTTACACCGACGACCCTTGAGAAGGTGAGCCTGCCGAGCGCAACCATAGGGATTAATGGAGAAGAGAATGGCAGTACTCCAGCAGTTAGGCCTGCAGGGTCTTATCAGGAGAGCGGAAGCGAAATCTTGGGTCCAACTGAAGAGAGCTCCGGCGGTGGATTTCGCTCCAGCGGAGAGGGAGAAACAGAGAGTGTAGTGCCGAGACCTCGCGAGGATAGAGAAGCTGAGGTAGTGGTACCCTACGAGGAATTAGATACGTGGATGCTGTGCTCGGACGACAACGTTATGGCTGGTGCCACACTGGTTCCTGATAATGTTTTGGCAGTTAGTGGGGAGAGAGACGATGGGGTGGTCATGGGATTTAGTGAGGAGAGAGAAAGTGAGATGGTGGGCTCCAACAAGGGGACAACAAGTGACGATGGAGAGAGTGGTGTGATTAGCTCATATAATCGAGAGAATGGCGAGTGGAACTCTTCTTCTTCTTCTTCGATCACTTCGTGCTTTGAGGAGGAATGGGTTGATTGGGACTGGAAGGACGTAGTTGAAGGTCATTATAAGCTCTGGGAGGATGGTGAAGAGACGCTTTCTTGGTTGTGGGAGGGTGATAATTGTGGAGGGGAGTGTCATCAGGTGGTGGGAGCAGACATGCAGGAGTCTCTGTCTGCTTGGCTCCTTTCTTGATTTCCTCCTGTAAAGAGGACCAAAAAGTAAAAAAAAGTTTGTGTTTGTTTTGTTACAAAACGATGTGAATCATCTCGTTTTCGTTTTTTCTTATGTCTTTCTATGTACTTTTTGTCCAGTGTTCCATGTGTTTAATATTATGAAAGCAACTATTTTGTTTTTTTTTTTTTTTTTTTTTGGTAGAAAGCAACTCAATTCGTGAATATTCTTTTTTTTTTTTTTTGAACTGTGTGGTTCTCTCCTCTATTAAGATATTGTGGGTGTTTTCAATGTTCTTGTTTTGACTTTGTTAATGGGCAATTGCTATGATACCTGAACAAAACTTGTACCATCCATGTTCTCCATTATTCTTCATTTCTAAAAGGCTTGACAGAAAGGTTTTTGACTCACTTTGGAAAGAGTATAATTTCACTTGAGACAATGATCAATCCTGTACTTTCACATTCTAACACTGAAATCCAAGTTCGTTTAATTTACTGATATAAATGGACATTATTAAGTAGGGTTACGTTATTGGGATGTTACTATATGTGCATTCTAAGCTCTAGAAGAAATTAAAATCCCTAAGGAGAAGGCAAAGAGGTTGCTCCCAGTAGAGAAGAAGGACTTGAAGGCTGCTGCCGACAGAGAAAAAGCAGTAGTATCTTCCTGTGGCCGTCGCCGGAGAGAATTAAGGACTCGTTTGGTTAGCAGGAATAGGGGTCTGGAACCAAACAGACCCTCAGTTTTTTATATCATTCGGAAAGAGTCGGTTGTAGAAAATCGCCAATGCTAAGGAAGAAATCATCAAGGTTTAAACAGTCTCAAAAATTATGCAAAGATCATTTTGGGGCTTTAAAATATTTAAATATGCACACGACATCACTTGTGAATCTTTTCACTACTCTTAACTAACCGAATGCTAACGAATGGGCTTATGGGCCGTTTGGTTTGCAGTCAGAATTGGATTGGTCCATTCGCATAGTCTGTTTGGTTCAGACAGAAATGAGAATCGGAATTGGAATCAGCATGAATGGTATTTCATTTTCAAGGGAGGGGCAGGGAATGGCTATTCCTTCAAATGGGGGAATGCCATTCCAGCAGGAATAGGAATGAAATTCAGATTCCGCCTAATCAAACAGTTGAAATGGAATAGGGAACACCCCATTCTGATTCGGATTCCAGACCCCTATTCCCCTGAACCAAAGTACAAAGAAATCAGATTCAGTTCTCACAAAACTGTGTTCATACAGTGTTTACAACCACTTGCACCTGTGCATTAGGAATATCTCCCCATGAATAAAAAAAACATACAAATGTGGAGATGTTTCCATGATGTTTATGTGTCACCATCCCCAAAGTACAAAAAGAAATCATATTCAGTTCTCACAAAACTGTGCTCATACAGCGTTTACAGCCACTTGCAGATATGCATTGGGAATGTCTCACCATGAATAAAAAACATACAAATATGGAGATGTTTTCATGATGCACAACTACAAAAATTGGGTCTCAGGTACAAAGTAGTTATCCATAATTTTATATTAGAAGGGGACTCAAGTATTATTATCATGATCTCATTGTCACCTTTGAGCATGTGTTTCGAGGCAGTCCGGATGAGTTGGAGACAGAATTATACACACCGGGCTGGGCTATCTATCACAAGTGAATATGCTAGTGTTCAGTATAGATGGAGCCAAGAGTGACGTATTCACTCGTGATAGGTAGCCCAGCCTGGTGCACATGATTTTGTCTCCAACCAATCCGGACTAGTTCAGAGAGGCAAATAAACAATTACCTAACTAGAAAACTTGGGACACACAATGGAAGTCTCAAATTCCTCCCTTTCTTTGCATGGTTTTATCCTTATTGATCCAAGACCGGTTTGGTAGGGACTGGATTCAACATGAATCCATTCATCCATGTCACCATGCCTCTCCTTGCTCCACTACCCCCACCCTACATTCTACTTGATTCTCTCTCCTCTCCCCTTCTCACCACTCCCATTAAACCATGTCACCCACCATTCCCAACTCAACTACCTAAAAATATTCCTAGAATCACTCTCCTAAGATATTTCATCTAAGCCATTAGGAAGGTATCATGTTACCCCACTCACTAATCAATTCCTAAAATCCCCCCCCAATCTATATCCACTCTATCTCATTTAAAATATTCATATTAATTAATAAATAATTAAATACGATTAATATTTAATACAGTCCATATTCAATGAATATTAAATAGTGTTATTAACAAAAGTTAATAAATACTGTTAGTAAATTACCAAAATTAAAAATTCTTATTAGTACAGTTCACAAATTACCAAAAATTAATAAATGTTGTTATTAATTAACTCATAACGACTTTTTAAAGTATTTTGGGTAAATACTGTTATGTTCATGTTAATTAACAACACTTTATAAAAATTGAAAACTCTTTAATTAATTTCTATAAATTTGAGAATTATATTTAACAATTATCAAAAAGTATAAAATAGACATTTAATTAGTGTAATTTATATTGGAAAATAAATTATTAGTTAATTTATATTGGAAAATAAAAATTAAATTAGTGTAATTTTGTTAGTAAACTACTTAATAAAAATAGACATTTAATAATGATTTACAATAATTTTCAATAAATTTCCATAACAAATGAAATAATTTTTTCAAAAAAATTATAAGGTTACATTTTTGTGAAATAACATTTTGGAAATTAAAAGATATAATATTTTACTCTTGGAAATTTTTTGAAAGTTTATTTAAAATGCATTAAATAATTATTCAAAATTATTATAATATTTTAGAAATAAAATATTGATTAGTTTATATTAGAAAATATAAGATAAATTATGTAATTCTGTAAGTAAACCATTTAAAAAGAAAATAAATTATTTAATAACAATTTAAAAATAAATTTGAATAAATTTTCAAAATTATAAAAATGTACTAATTTTCCAAAATTTTCATAAAATTATATTTTTAAAAATTAAAGACAAATTAGTGTACTTTTAGAAATTTACCATGTGGATGATACTAACTTGACACTAGGGATGTGGTATAGTGTCTTAACTATAGGACGGGGATAGGGATGGGGTGTCCCACCTCAAACCCGCCCCATTGGCATTCCTTTATTATTAGTGAAATTAATAAAAATGTTAGTTTTTGAAATTATTTTTATTTATTTAAAGTTAATCAAAATTTCATTTAAAAATAATGAAAACAATAATAGTTATTAAAATTACTACAAATGGCTAATAAAATGAAATTTATTAAAAAATATTTGTTCATATTAAATTAACTATAATTATTTTCTATAAATCAAAAGTAAATGAAAAAATGGTATTTGAATTAACTATATATATAATCAGTTTGGATATTTACCGAATCGGATCAATGCATATTAGAATTCGATCCGATAATTTAATCGGTAAAAAAATGGTATTTGAATTCAATTGAATATCCGATTCGAATTATCCGAATTAGATTCGATTATGTCGAATCTCAAATTCAAATTTGGATTTTCGAATACCGTTTACAGGCCTATGTGGGAGAGACTTACTATGTATTTGAAAAGGAGAAGCCTCTTGAGTATTGTCAAAGAATTTCGCTTTAATATATTAAAGGGAAATTGTCAAAAACTCACCATAACTTTTCAGCATTTCTCTTAAACTCACCTTAACTTTTCAAAACGTCTGGGGAGCTCCATATTAGTAAGTTTACGTTAAATGGACTAACGGATTTGGGTATTATTACTATTTTACCATTTTTTCTGTTGTAAATGAAAAATAAAGCAAAACTTTGATAAAAAATAGAAAAATGGTGAAATGCTGAGAAGTTTTGTAGAATTTCCCTATAAAAATATTTTTTATTAATGAATACTAAGGTGGTATAAAAGATGGTGAATTTTAAAAATAAAAATGACTGACATGGGTTATTGGACGTTTTGAAAAGTTACGGTAAATTTAAGAAAAATGGTCAAATGCTGAGAAGTTTTATAGAATTTCCCTATACTAAAGGATGAGTTGGTTAATGCAAACCTTTCATTTGAAAGTGAGCTGACAAGTTTCAAAATTTTGGCATGCCACAAAGTATCCACGTGGTACAAAGTAACTGGATATTGATAGACGGGACAGGCGTTGGTTAACGGCCTTTTTCTGTCTTAGTCAATGTTTCATTTGTCAGAACTTTTCCCCACGCTTAGCCAGGTGTAGAGATGGCAGCAGCTCTGCCAATGACGAGTTGAAGGAATAATGAAAAAGAAAAATAAACTTAAAATGAAAATTTGACACGCTGCAAATTTCTAATGACGGCGGATTTAACCCTCCAAAAACCTCATGATATAACATCTCGAAACAGTTTAATCACACTTAGATGCCACTAAGCGATAATTTAAAGTCCCACATCGTACCTTATTTTCACCCCGATTTGTCAGGTGTAGCGATGGCAGCAGCTCTACCAATGACGTGTTGAAGGAATAATGAAAAAGAAAAATAAACTTAAAATGAAAATTTGACATGCTGCAAATTTCTAATGAACTTAACCTATGAAAATTGAGAATCGATGACGGAAGATTTGACCCTCCAAAAAACTCATGACATATGGCATCTCGAAACAGCTTGATGACACTTAGACGCCACCTAAACGATGATTTAGAGTCTCATATCATAGTTTATTTTCATCCCGATTTGGCGATTTACCTTTACGACCGACTTGGCAACCTGCCTTTACCGCCGACCTGTAGCACTTCATCACCGGCCAAAGTGACCTCGACGCGTGGCGCGACCTCTCTCGAGGGCTTGCCGACCTAACTAAGGACTAGGCGGTGACCTACGAGATGTGCTCACCAACAAATTCGGCATGCATACCCCGACACTCCCAGGTTTCTCGGGAGTTGGCCCACGTACCGAATGTTCCGTAGGATGGTCAACGTGCATAGCGGTTACTTTCGAGGATTTCGGACCAGTAAGGCTCGACCTCTCGAAAATCTCGGATGCGGTGCGTGAAGCCTATGCCAAACAATGCCTATATAAAGGCACCAACCCCAATAACACAGGGTATGCATGGTTATTTGCTCACTAGCACTAGCACTTAAGTATTCAGCTCGCATCCTTAATACAGTACTGACTTAAGCATCGAAGCGACCTCGTCGGGTTAGCCACC